CCTGTCCGTCAGTGCGGAGCCTGTCCACCCCGTCACAATTATTAGTACATACAATGATTCCTGGGAATGGCAATGTAATGATTTCAGAACTAATGACAATAATCAACTTTTTAACTTTCCTCTTTGCTTGTTTCTATTGAACCTCTTCAGATAATTGTCTTTTTGCCATTTATTTTTGCCTTGTATGATGTCTCTAATTCAAAGTGCTGTATAATTTTTAATATTCTAAATGCAAATATATCTAACAATACATGAAATGGAATTGGGCTACTTTATCTTCTTAAACACAAAAATATATATAAAAAAGATGTCCATTTATTCTTGTGATCAATTTAGTGAACATACATATATAGAGACTATAGAGCTAAAAGGCTTAGCCGCCTAACTAACATCTCGCCGGTACATTTGGATTTAGTGGAAACCAAGAAGTCTTTTGGTGAATGGTATCCCTACCTAGTATTATGTTTCAGGGGGTAGCCGAGTTAGTCTGAACAGGATAAACTTAAACTTATGAGATATCAAAAAGCAGTTTCTAAAAGTAATGTACATATAAGCCTTGTCCCTCCAAAAAATAATCTGATGCATGTGTCAATAGGGATGAATGACCCTTTTGCCATCCTGTGTATTTCCCCATCACATATTGGGTTTGCAAAACTAGTTACAATTCATAAGCTTGATTCTATCAACATTATTTTACACAATCCACAAATTTGGAGAGATGAAGTACTGCTACAGGAAGCAATTTTCTTTTGGTCTACACAACCTTTGCTCACAACTTCATCCCTGTTTTTCCAATAGTAGAGATACAAACATAAAGGTAACATACTATTGAACTGCTGCAGCAGTGTTGAGGGAATGGCCCCACACCAGTTCAGTTTCCTTCCTCCAAGACATTATAGGCCAAAGGACTATCATTACTCCTTTCATCAACTCCTTGGAAAAAAAGTGGAGTTTATAACTGGCCCCAAACATGGAATATTTGTAGTATTTAAGCAAAAAAAGTGTGTATAAAGAAAACACAGAATGAATTAAGAGATTTAACTGAAGAAGATGACAGGGATTTGCTAAACTATATCATCAAAGTTTCATAACAAAAATAATTTTTTGGTGCTAGCAGTCTTAATAGTCACAGAAAAAAGAATTTCGATCAAACATGGAGTCAAGAGGGCAAACAATAAAATTAAAAATATTAAAGATGCTAAAGAGCAAAAAAAAAAAAAAAGGTTAAAGTTAGTATATGGAAGTTCAAGCAGATTAGCTGGCTAGAAATAGTTTAATGAGCCACTACATACATGTGGAAATGTTTCCATTAAAGGCTTATCTTTAACCACAACCCACCCCTGCAATGTGTGTGCCTAAATTCTGGCTAATGAAAATAATTTTTGATGCTCCTTGAACTATAATTTGCTCAGGAAAAAAAAGACACCATCAAGTTCATCTTCAAGCTGCATTAATCCCCTAACTTTCGAGCAATATTTGATATATGGGAAACAGCTGTGGAAAAATAAATCTTCACCCTTTGAAAAACTATTTATATTAAATATGTTTTGAAGTTATAGTAGGAAAATTAGTGAAAATTGTAAATCTATTTGCAAATCTGGTCATGTCTAACTCTACATTTAGAGGAAAGATTCCAATTTAATAGTAAAATCATGACAACCCTAGCTAAGCATGCCTTCGGTCACAGCAGATGGGCTCTTTGCTTACCTCCACGTGCTATGGATTTATTACATGCACCCAACACGTTTCATATTAGACACCCCTTGACTGTGTACTTGAGACAGCAATGTTCAGCATGTGCTTCCTCTACAGACCAATATATTATTCTAAATTGAGCTAAACTGTTTCCGTTTCATAAGTGCTATAAAGTTCAGATTCCAGTTATCAGGCAGCAGGATTACAGTTCCTCAGCAGGGTTATTTTTCACGTGAGGAAAAATAAAGACTGTAAAAAAGTAAATGCCATATTGAAGCTAATTTTTCCCCTTAAATAAAAAGTTATTTTTGATATTATGATAGCATATCTGAAAATAGAAAAAAATGAACCCCTGATCTTTGGCACATAATATATAATTCAAGACATAATTAATACAGCAGTATATCTCAACTAAAGATAAGAGCTGAGAAAGCAAGTAAACTAACCTTAGTGATTTCATTTTTAAACAAAAGTTTCTAAAAATAACCAAGAATCATATTATAGAAGTGCCCTTTTTCCTGTTCTTTGAAACACTATTCATTAAATATATATATAATAAAATAATAATACAATTTACAATACTATGGCTCAAAAATCAATGCAGAAGTTCATGGAAAAAGCACATTTGTATTGTATTTATTTTGGGCTAAGACGGCCACAATCAAAGTACATTACTGTTTAAGAAAACTTTATAATTAAGAAGTCTACACTTCTAGGCTAATGACAGTTGTACATATTCTAGTGTTGACACAGCCATCTGTTGACTTTTATTAATAATAAATATAATTTGTATTTCAAGAATTTATAATTAAAAATGACAGCATTTATCAAATGTTCACACAATAGTATTGATGGAGAGACTGTGCTACTTCCTGTGCATACACAAAAAAGTGAAACAGAACATCACAGATATCACTGTTGATAAATGTTGGCTTTTAAATGATTAAAAGTGTAGTGAATCTGACATCTTTTCTGCTAAAGATCTTGTAACATTGTAAACATTGTAAACATCTTGTAAACATTATATTATTTTACAAATGGAAACTGAGGCACAGAGAGTTCAAACAACTTACTACCATCATGAGTTTGAGATAAACTTAAAAAACAACAAATAGTCTGGTAGCACTTTAAAGACTAACAAAACATGTAGACAGTGTCACGAGCTTTTGTGGGCATAGCCCACTTCTTCAGATGACCAGGTGGTCATCAAAAGCTCAAGATACCATATACATGTTTTGTTAGTCTTTAAAGTGCTACCAGACTATTTGTTGTTGTTTTAAGTTTATCCTGTACAGACTAACTCAGCTACCCCCTGAAGCTTATGAGTATGAGTGTCAGAAACAATACCCCGAATCCTGACTATAATTCTCCCTATTGTAACCACTAAACATGCTACCCCTACCATACCATCAGATCTACTAGGTGATTCTCAAAGTGTCATTGTTACATGTCTAGGTGGTACAAACTCCAGATGAATTAAACAGCATGTTCCCTAACTGTTTTCACTATTTTTGTAACAATAATGGAGGAGGTAATAAAGGTAAATGAGAAGGAGAAGATGAGAATCAAGAATGCGTAAAATACAGAAACACAGGATAAATTAACTAATATTCGTTCATTTGCTATCATGCTACCTCTTATATAATGGTCACATATATTAACTCTCCAAATATATTGAATCACACTGTAGGTATCACCCCCTTCATGTATCTACTCTTAAAATAGTGTGCTTGCAAACCAACAACATGAAGAAGATACAAAACAACCCAATGCTAATATATGCCTCTTAATTACAGGTTACTACCAGTTATATTAAGTCACTCACTTCAACTAAAAAAAATAGCCATGATTTATTCTATAAGTTTTAATTCAAATGTGGACCCTTTTATACTATAACTGCTGTTAAATTCATATACTAGATTTTTTTTTGTTAATCCTGGTAAAAGCTAATGATAAATGATTTATAAAGCTAGAAGAGCGTATCTAGCACCTGCTCTACAGGGTCCCAAATTTTAGTTTTCTATGAAGCAATAATAGGAAAGAATGATTTATATACCATATCTGGAAAAAATGTTTAATCTGTGTTCTGTTTCCACCTAAACATAACATTTTTGACCCATCCTTTATATAGCATTTCCAGCAGTACCTGAGCTACAGTATAGAAAGTTAACTCCTACTGGGGGAATAAGGAATGTCTTTACCATTTGAAAGTTTAGCCAACTATGATTTACAGATCTAGAATAAAAGTACTAAGATCAGTGATGATGAACACTCATTCCACAATTTGTCTTCTGAAGCAGCTGGCCAACAAGGCTGATCAGTCACAAACCTTTACAGTCAATACAAATTTGATTAATCTGTCCATCTTATTGGAGAACAGCTATTTCACAAAGATGGATTAAGAATTCTTAGAAAGGGAATTATTAACTGCTACATAACCATCACTTTGTTTTAAAAAAATCTCTTGCTCACTTTCTCTGTCCAGATTGTCAGCCCACATTCTAACGTAAGAAGAAAAGTCACACATCTTCTGTATCACAGTATTAAAGAATTTCACACAGTTCTATATCTTAATCTGAGAGATGCTCAAGTCCGAAAGTGTTTAAAAGCACAACGGCTATACACTAGTTTTAGTTCTGCATATATGCCACACTATTGACCCTATTGTGGGGTTATACAGGTATAACTAAAAGAAGAATGAAGCACAAGATATTAGCAGGCACTCAGAAAATAATACCTCGTGGTACTTTTGTTCAGTTTCACCTGATAGACAATGGGGATAAAGGAAGAGGAAAGCTATCCCAATAAGTAAGAAGGTAGGAGGAGCTGCTTTGTTTAAGTACTTTGGGAATCTACCAATCAGAAGTGCACAAACTGAGTGTGTCAACAAGAGTATCACTGCAGTGTCTCATGGTGCGATGTAGCTGCAGTTTATTTACTAAGAGATATAATAAAGAGAAAATGCTAGTCTGGAATGATCCTGCAGGGTTCAAGAGAAATATGAAGAAAACAGTCTTCAAAGTAAAAACAAAACCAACACGAACACACACACACCCGTAATTACACATTTTGGCCAGATCCTCACTCTCTCCCTCTCTCACACACACGTACGTAATTACATATTTTGGCCAGATTTCTCTCTCTCTCTCTTTCACGTAATTACACATTTTGGCCAGATCCTCAACTATTGTAAATCACCTGCACCCGCATCCCACTGACATCAATGGAACTATGATAATTTACTCTGACAATTTGCCCTCTATTTTCAATAGACAAATTTGCATTCCTAAGCCTTTAAAAATTACCCAGCATAAAATAGCAGTCTCCAGGGTGAAGAGGTATTGCCAGTCCAGGTGTCTTTATGTCCCACGCCACCTTCAGGCCTACATGCCAGTCAGCTGGGTCTCTCCCTTCCATATCCTGTTCATTAACTTTATCGCTTGCAGAACCTACAGAAGAAAAAAGAAAAAAAATGAGACAGGATTACAACCACAAAGTATCAAGAATTTGGTAGTGCAAACTCACATATATTAGGCACAGTCATAGGGCACTTGGCCTTAATTATCCATTGTCCTTTATCTCACGGAGTCAATGACGTTAATAAAAAATAAACATGAAGAGTGTGTAAATGCTAACCAACCTAAAATGTCTGTATGAAGCACAGACAATGGAAAATCAGGGATCTAAAGTCTGACATCACATCTGAAGTTCCCTATAGTTCTGGGATGTTTAGCTCTGGAGTTTTGGTTAATGCCCAACAATTTTATACAGATTATTAAAACCATAGTAGTATGCTAACTAATATTAGAGCAGAACAGTGATACCAAGTATGTAAGAAACAAATTCTATGCTAACTTTGAGACAAGGATTTCAAAACATTGTTTACATGTTAAAAATCTCAACAGGGTAGTTGTGTTAGTTTGTAGCTTTAAAAACAGTGAACATTCCTGTGGCACATTACGCCAGATCTACACTAGACCTGGAAGGTAGGCTTAAGGTACGCAACCCCAATTTAAGTCAGGATATTTTAAACTGAGCTTGGCAGTGTCCCCACAGTGGGAGGCCGACAGGATCAAATGCCCCCATTGGCTTCCCTTAATCCTTGCAACTGCGAAGAGTACAGATGCCCTCAGTGTTTGATTTCCAGATCTTAATTAGACCTGCTAAATTGAACATCGGAAGGTTAACCTCTGGTGCAGCAAGTGAAACCGTGTCCTTGGACTAACAAATATATTATATTATGAGCTTTCATGGGTAAAATCCACTCGCCATCTGATGAAGTGGGTTTTATCCATGAAAGCTCATGATATAATATATTTGTTAGTCTCTAAGGTGCCACAGAACTACTCATTTTTTGTTTACATTTACTAGACCTAATTTTAGAAAAGCATAAACTAATTTTCAGTGAAATTCAACTGACTTCTATAAAGATACATAGAACAGATTTAAAGAGAGAATCCTTGAATCTCATCTTCCATCCTTTTGTCACATTATTAAACTATTCGGATATGTTATAGAGTGCAACAGCCAATGAAGACTCAGTACAATCTTCATATGGCTGTCTTATCATTAAACATGAATGTGATAAACTAGCAGAAAAATCTAGTGCAATGAAAAAATACCTAGAGTTCAATTTCTCAACTAGGACTAATTTCAGAGGCTTAATGCAATGCAGTGTTAAGTGAAAGATACAGTCTGCATTTATAATACGGTAATTAGAAGCTATGGTGTAATAGTTTAATGGCTGATGTAACAGCATTTTCTCAGGTGAAGGACGTAGCTTTTAATGTACAACTGGTACCATCAACGGCTAGTAATAATTAACAATTGTATGTTGCATGCCTAATTTTGATTACTAATTGGTTGAACATATCCATTTCACTACCATGACAAATGCATATTACTGTAATAATTTTTGTAGACATTAAGCTTCATTATTTTCAGAACATAAATGCTAGAAAAAAAGATTTATAACTTTCATTATTCGACACACACATACAAAGTAGTGTTGACCTTATGCCTTTAGAATATTCAAGTCATTCATCACATGTAGGCTACTACAATGTTTATATAGTTGGGGGAAGACTTAATCGTTAATAAAATTCTAATAGTTTTCCAGATGATTTAAATTTTGCTGAAATTCTGAAACCAGGAAGAAAAACCCCCTAAATATCCCAGAGTCCAAACCTGAAGTCCTTGTTTACTCAGGCAAAACTCCTATTACAAGATCAGCCCCACAACACTGCCCCTCAGTATTATTCTTCACATCCTGCTCAAGCTTTGTCTCAGGATCAGTGCACAGCTCTAGGCTGTTCCATCAAGGAGCACACAAATGAGAAAACAAGAGCTAGCAAACACTCTGAGAAAAATCAATACTAAAGTCTTTCAGGGGCTTTCATATTTTCTGCCCTGTTCAGATAAATCGTAACTTAATTTAAGAAAAAATGCTTTCAGAAAACTGCAAATAGGATGGCTTTCAAGGCATTTTTAATGCAATACATCATGGATATTATAAAAAGAGGTAACCTTTGCGGGTTAACTCTGTTATGCTGCTTTCCCATTCACTTTGGCAGCAGCACCATTCACAATATGGCACCAATAAAATACAGAAGTACAATCAGAGACAGCAATTTCAATCAAAGTTTTCTGGGGTCTCCTCATAAATCCAGCACCTTTGGAATGTGCTCATTAAAATGACTTACTTTTTTGCAGTTTGATAAAATTTTTATTGCCTAAGTACAGAGTTCAAATGCAGCTCACAGGCTCCTTTTCCCTATGTTCTCAGTGAATGCACCTAATAATTATCTGCAGCGATTGAAACATATTACCCTTACCATGTTATTTTAGAAACAAATGGATGCAAGCTGTTACTTGCTTCTGTCATTTATGCCAAAGTAATGTACAAAAAATAAAAGGCTTTTTGTCATATGTGGTATATCTCTAGGCTGTCTGGCAAAACTTATAACAGGGACTATAACAGGGAGAAGTTGTAATAAAATCATATAGTCACCTCAAGCAGTAATGAGTCCATGTATTTGTTTAGAAAACTATGGGTCGGGTTTAAGTGAAAACATTTGGATGTTTCAAGTTCTACAACTAAAGTATAGGTACTGTAATCATACGGATCTTGCACATACATAGCACCTTTAAAACAAATAGACCATAAAGTGTTTTATTTACTTTGGAACAAACTATACAGAAATTGCCAAATTTAGCAGCACTTAATAAAAACCAAAGAAAAACTCCCATTGATATGCTCAATAAAGGACTGCAGACTCTAACCTAGATAGTAGTTTGCTCACATCCAAAATGAAATGTGACTATGTAACAAACATACAGAAACACTCCCTCAACAGTCTGGACAGGAAGTGAAGAATATGTACCTACCCAACCACAAGTAAATAGGAAGTTATAACAGAAAGAACAGCAACTGAAGTAGAATTTTGCCAGAACACCATGCTTGGTGTCCTACTGTGGTATTTCAGAGATATTGTGAATCCCAGAATCTTAATGTGGCAACACCACAAGCAAGAGGCAGAGAAGGCCACACGCACCACATCACCCTTATGATTCTGGGTGATGTCATCATAACACAGAACAACAAAGGGCTTGTTTTTCTAGATCTAGTTTTGTTATTCTACCATGGAGGAAGTCTTCCAAAGGCAGCTGACTGAGCGGTTTCTCAGTCATTTCGGGCCAAACAGAACAATTTGAGAGATCTTGGCACTTTCAAACCAACCTAATTCTAAACTGAATCCTAACTCAACATAGCAGGATCAACATATGTTGAGAGAAAATTGTGCCATTCCTGGAGGATGCTAGCATAGACAGTGCTTTCAGGTAAGGGCAGCATGTGAACAACCCTTGCCTTGTATCTCCCAGGGTCTCCAGGGATGTGTTAGCTTCCTAGGAGGATCAAAAGTACCACCAATCCACCCCCACCAAAGAATTTGGGAAAATTCTTTCATCCCTAAATGGATGTGGGAGAGAAATCTTACTGATATAAACAGTGATGGTGGAGAGTAAAGAAGACCAACAGCTTTAATTCAAATACAGATTCAATATTAACATTATGAAGAGCTGCTATTCTTTCCCCAAGTATATTGTCACATACAGTGATTATTTTATTGAAACATACTCCATAATTGCACTAACCCCAAATAAAAAAATGTCCTCTAGCTGGTTAGCATCTACAAGTAATAACCAACTTCTAGAAATTATTTATGCAATTGTACAATTCACATACAGAAATGAGCATTTTGGCTACATATTCAGTGGCCAGCATTAAGGAAATATTTTTATATGCACCATTTTTTTTTACAGTCAATATCTAGAACACATTATCGATGTCAGAAACCATTGAGGATAACTGCTTTCATGTTGTACGAATAAATTATTCAGTGTCTTGCGTCCATTAAATAGCAAATACAGTAGATTACTAGTCAATTATAAATCTTTAGAAACATTACAATTAATAGTTATTGTTAATAACCACTGAGGAAATGGTCAATACTGAATCTGTTTTTTCCCCATGATTATAGAAATGATGGGGCAGCTATGAAGCTTAGAATGGGAATGTTGCTTTTCAAAACATGGAAAACACAAATTGTACTTTATGAAAGTAAAAAATAATCCTTCAAAATTTGCTGCAATTAATTACTGGTTTTGTTAAACTGTTAACCATTAATATGTCAGCTAACAGATCTGGTTGTTTATTATTCTAAGAGATTTACACAGCAATCAGGCCTTATAGGGCAACAAGCCAAACATAATACAGTGAAGTATCCAGAGGAAAACTTCTTCAACCTTTAAACCAGTAGATAAGACTCTACTGGTAGTTCCTGGAGGCTCCAGACTAGTTTGGCTAGGAGGCTACCAAGAGCCAGCACTTCAGCTGGCTCCACCTCCACAGTGGTCTCCCCTGCCCTTTGGCTTGGAACTTGCCCCTTCCCCCCACCGCTTCATTCAGAGTGTGTTGTTTTTGTTTTACTGGTCTGTGCATTCATAATTTTTATTTTCTCTTAGGCTTAAATTTAATTCTTTATGTACTGAGTTCTAAATGCTTAACCTGTCACGTCTGAAGCAATTATTCCTATGGTAATTTTTTTAAAAACATATATTATATCTAGGTTTTGGGTTTCTAATGGTGGTGCACATCTGCACACTAACTTGATATTGCTGCACATAACAAAATTAATGCATTCATAATTTTTATTTTCTCTTAGGCTTAAATTTAATTCTTTATGTACTGAGTTCTAAATGCTTAACCTGTCACGTCTGAAGCAATTATTCCTATGGTAATTTTTTTAAAAACATATATTATATCTAGGTTTTGGGTTTCTAATGGTGGTGCACATCTGCACACTAACTTGATATTGCTGCACATAACAAAATTAATTCCCTCTAATTTATTCCATTCATGTGGCGACGCGCCGACAAAGAAGCCTTT